GAAATGGCTATCAATCGAAATAGATACACTAGAATGAGAAACAGAGAGACAGAGAAAGATAGAAACAGAACATATTCAAAGAGGGAAAGAATTAGAAAAGAGCGAGTGAGAGAATGAGAGGAAGAGGTATAAAAGGAAAGAAAAGGGAATGGGAGGGGGAGAAAGAGAGAGAGAGAGAGAGAGAGAGAGAGCGCGATTAGAGTAAAGATGCTATCCATGTATAATAGATCTACACAGCTCAGCATACTGAGCATGCTGAGAGTGGTCAGTTCACAGTCAATATAGGTCAAGCTGGCCTCTTGACCTGGAGTAGGAATGCCCACACGGCCAGGGCTGACCTTAGAAAATTGGAGTGATGAAAATGAATTTTCAAGGTATGCGTCTCAGATTAATTTTTGATTATGAGTAAAGGATGACAAACGTGTCATAGCTCACTCCCTGGAGTTCTATAACGAGGACGACACGATGGCCAGATCTAAATCAGAGTGGCACGCGACATGTACTTCATATTTAAAGAGAAGGTTGAGTTCTGGGAAGAGATGAAAAATATTTTATGAGCGTAATCATTGTTATTATGTAAGTGTGGAAGAACATCAGATAAAACATGTTCCTGAAAAGTATGGCTCTTCAAATGCCTTCATATTCTAAATATGGAATGTAACATCGTAAAAATTGGGACGGATTTTTACTCCACGTGATCGAGTAGTCCCATATACATCTTTATGTGTACTAGTGCTTGTAACTTTACCAAGACTTGGCCAAAATTCTTATCATTTTGATGATTCCAGAACCTTGCAATACACACAATTACTTATGCTAGATTATAAACCTTTTTGGATCGATTCCACACCGTTTCTTTCACAGTGCAATCGCATGACCAGAACTCAACTTCATCTTTAACCCAGTGGAACATATCTTTCTTTCAAAGTCTAATTTATTCATATATCTATATATACCGGTATTCAGTTGTTTTGTCGATATAATTAAGGAATTTGTTAACTGATTAATGCAGGATTGAATTATATAATTAATTAATATCGTTAATTTATTTTTGTAGTATTTATTTACTCAGCTATTCACTTATTTATTCAAATTGTTTTTATTCTAAATGTATTTAGAAGTGTACGTTTGTATTTATTTGTTCACTTATAAATTTATTTATATCTTTATTTATAATTTATTTTTCAGTTATAATTTGAATGACTGATTCATTTCGTTATTCATGTATGTATTTACAAATTCTAAATACTGGAGAAACACGCATGTCTGGCTCGATTGTTGTCACATCTTTATCATTTTTAACAATTGATGAATAATTGATTTTAGATCTTGGCTGTGACTTGTTCTTTTATGTGACATAGATTGCTGTCATGTACTTTTTCTGCAATTTATTTAAGTTAGTATTGTCTGTTGGGAGCCAGGGGAGTACAAATAATCAAACAATTCCCCTGGCTCTCAACAGAGAGGTTAAATTATATTACGTTGTTATGTTATTTATGTTATTTGTAGTTTTTTTGTCTATGATATGTTAATGTATTGTCATATTTTATACGAATGTGAGCCGTAATACGATTCTTATGCCTTCATTTTATTTTGTGCATGACAATAAAGAAATTCAAATTCAAATTTAAAAAAAAATGATGATCTGTGATATACTACAGTCATTGGTTTTCCCTCTTTGGCATCTCGTGTAAACACAATCGTCCTTCATTTACCCCTTTTCCCTCACTGCTCTCGTCAAATTCAATCGAAATAAACTAGGTCTAGTATGATTTTATCAGTGTTCACAATTTGCATCTCAGTTTCTTCCTAAACACATTGCAGATAATGCAGATAGACCCGCTCTTTTAATGTGTATGGGGTGTTTGAAATATATGCGGTTCACCCACTCAGTCCACACACTTTTTGTTTTCAATGGCGTATCCAGATTGAACAACGGAGCAGGGGTGGGGGCGATATTCTCCCGAATTTGGAGGAGGGGTGACGCCTGAAGCTCTATAGTTGCAGAACGTTAAGTTATTTAATTTTATTCCATTTCATTTTTTCATTAAAATAAAAGCAGTGATGCTTTCCTTTTTTTCTCAAAAGCAACTCAAGGAACCTAAACGACTCGTTTCTCTTTGAAAAATATTGCTGTGGTAGGAAATAAAATAAAATAAAATTAAGAGAGGGGGGGGGGGGGGGTAGAATTCCCATTTTCTTTCGGACTATAGTGGGCGGCGGTGGAGATGGTAGGCGGTATTTTACACGGTGCGTGCTTTCTCCAAAAAATCTGTCATCTTCCCATTGCTTGAAGTGAACCAACATCTAGCTTGTCTGAGCTTGGCCCGTGATGAATTGCGTGCAATGTTTGCCCGTCTCAAGGATGTCCCATGGAGATCTCCATGGATGTCCCATGACAAAATCTCTTTCATACGATCTCTCTTTTCATCCGTCTCGGGGGAGTGCACTATTTACAGTGGCGGAGACAGCAACAAAAGGGGAAAGGAGACTTGTAGACAAATGCGTTTTATAAATGATTTTGGAAACATAAATGGTAAAGCATCTTTAAATCAATGGTCGGGTTGCTTAACATTATTATTATTAGACGTTATTTTTTTCTTCTTCTATATACCTCTTTTTCATTCAGCCTATAGAATATGAAATCTCAATACAAACAGTGCTTGCAATGCTATCTCATTGGAGGAAAAACATACAATACGCACAAGCACGCCCGTACACCCACACACATAATTATAAGAATGGGAAATAGAGACGAAAAGGAAGCGACAGATGTAGACACAGAGATAGGTAGATAGAATTATCGAGAGAGATAGAGAGAGAGAGAGAGAGAGAGAGAGAAGCAATGGGGTGGGGGTAATGGGGCTTTCTCTTCTCTGATTTTCTATTCTTCCTATCATGATTTCCCACGTTTCTCAAATCATCGTCCGTCCCCTTTCATCCCTTATTCATGATTATCCTCCTACATGATTAAATCTGTCTACTTCTCTCTCCAACCACCCGATGTTTCACCGTCGGGTTGACGTACAGAACAGTCACGGCTTATTTGATTAAGAAAATTGATTTCTTGTGTGACGAAATACATGTTCAATCTAGTCTACATAGGTGGATACAATCATAATTTAGCACACCTGCAAAGTCAACTGCATTTGTGGACGTACATGTAGATGCCAAACATAATATTGGTGAGTGTACTATTATTTTACACTTACCTGGAAAGCAAATAATTTTTATGTTCTTAATGCAAGATACGGTACGGAGGAGAAATAACAGGATTTTTAATTATCTTTCGATAACAAAAATGGAAGAATAGCTATGCAAATCTAGAAGTCGATGATCAAATCTATGTTACTATATTAATTGAGTTTTTGACGGGATCGAAAATCACATAGATCCACGATACGCAGAATTAAAATTGCAACGGAATGGTGGCCCTGAATTACGTTAAGTGTCTTATTCTAAAAAAATAAATTAAAAGAAATCCTCAGGGTTCTAGATAAAATCAGAAATGGTATTAGATTTTGATTTGAAGATGAAAAAAAGAAGCTAAAAGATTTTAATTATCCTACAAGATGTGTGAACATTATTAAATACCAATACACACGCTCACGGATTTGAAAATAGGGATGGTTATAAAAAAAAACCTGCAATTACAGAAGGCACAATATTATTGGGCTTCAATCATACTTGAAAATATAGGTTAATATTGATCCAAAAAACAACAACGAAGAATTAACCGTTAAGTTAAAAATGAATGCGTTGTACCACACGCGCTTCATTCGAAGAAACTTGTAAACTTATCATAATGATTATCAATATGAATCCATTGGGCACAAATACGTTCAAAAGTTCACAACCAAGCATTTTGCCTGTAATCTTACGTCACTGAATCAAAATTTGAACATTTACCACGGTTTTGTTTGGAAAACATACCACAGTCACACCGCGAGACCGACTCCGAACCGATTCAAAACTTACCGATTCTTGGCCAGTATTAATAAATAATTAAATGTATAATTTTTGTTCGGTCCATTGTCGGTCTGGCGTCGGCCTCATCAGTATATCTGGGACCCGTTTCACAAAGCCTTCTTTCAATGACAAAATAATGACAAAAATCAGTGACAAATCTGTTGATGACCTATCAGAAGCAAGGATTTCAGTAGCTTATAACAAAAACTGTCATTAATTGTTGTCACTGATGACAAGGTTTGTGAAACGCCCCCCCCCCCCGGTGGTGTATCAAACTTATTCTAAATGTGTCGAGCGAGAGGTAGGCACCGGTAATATTGTGAAATCCGCCACCAATAAGAGTCGGAACGACCTCATTCATGGATTTAACGCTCATGAGACCCGCTGGCCATGTTGTGGGACTATCAATTTCACGCGTGCGCAGGGAAAATTAGATTTAGTAGAGGTGTGGATGTTTCTAGCTCTGTGCACTCCAGGCAGCATAATATTTGCTAAGCGGTTGTTTGCAGCCGTAACAATTGGTCGTGCCAAAAGATTGATGACCACTCTGACTTGAAGATGAAATAGTGGATCCACTCTGAAAAAGAGTTATTGAACCGCTACTTTGGAGTGGATTCCGCCATATTTTGGAGTGCATTCAACTACAATCGAAGTGATCCATAATAATGACTCCTCAAAAGTGGATTTCCATTCCTCCTCGTTCCTCTTTTGTGGCGGTTTAATATTGCGCCATATCAAGACTTAAGAGAGGTTAAACTAGGTATCTTACATAGTATGAGCCCGCCCCCCCCCCCCACTCATTGTAAGAGGAAATCGTTTTCAGCCATCTCTATCTCATGAAGGTGTCAGGGCATGAGTAAAGGTATCAAGGCCAAAGTATGTATTGCAAACTATACGAGTCATTGTGACACCAAACCTTCAAATATGACTAAACCTTCCACGTGTTCTAAAAACTTCATGCAAAAGGTCCGTGTGAACTTATGATAACCGTGATAAGAGTTCAATACGGGGCGGGGGGGGGGGGCTTGAAATACATGGGTGAATGGACATGAATAAAGCAACACAAAAGTGGGAAAAAAGATGAATGAATAATTGGCCGTTTTTAAATGCATTCTAGCATGGATATCATTCAAACAGAGTATTACAGGTCCCTGATTCAAACAAGTGTGGCGGTTGGATGCCTCGATCCCATGCAGTCGTAGCGTGTACGAATCTGCATGTAAAAATACATGGATGAACACAAGTAGGCGTTCGTTTTGAGTATAATGTGTATAGGAGTTCAGTGAAACACCAAGTATTATGAAAACGTTGAATAATATCATAGCAAAATGTAAGTACTGATTTTCAATTTTTTAAGCTTAGTAGGCTACTCTCCTGCTAGATACAACTGATCCTGCGGTTACAATGCAACGGTGGACATTAATATTATTGTAGGCGAAGCAGAAGCACAGTAGCAACATGGTGGGATTTCAGAGGATTAGCGAATCAGTGGTTATACTTTCTATTTTGTACATCTTATCCTGCAAGAGTGGGGTGGAGTCTTACAATGTGGTCCTGTCTGCAAACTTTGGGGACGGCAGTCACTATATCGCCATGAGGGCCATTGGGGAAGGGCTAGCAAAGAGGGGTCATAACGTGACTTTTCTAGTAGCTGAAGGCTTTCCACACCAAACCAGGCACCACGAGGACTCTGGACTGTTCCATTTCGAACGATTCCGCCTTCCAGGCCTCAAGGAAAACTTAGAGGATGCTTATGATAGGTTAGGTTACCTGACCCTCGCAAATCAGAAAAACAACGGTGAAATATTTAAAGTGATGGATACCTTTAAAACACTGAACAAGGATGCATGCAGTGCCATGTTCAAAGACAACGCTCTTATGGAACGCCTGGCAGCATTCGATGCTTTCGTGTTCAACATCATCTGGCCGTGTGCTGTTTATGTCAAATCCTACCTTGAGCTTCACAAGGACGTTGAGGACATTCCTTTAGTGGCATTATCGAACACAGGTCTCAATCCTTACATCCTATGGGAAGCAGCCTCACCGTTCTTCCCTTCATTCCAGCCCTCACCGATGAGCAAGCTATCTCCAAAAATGACCTTCTTCGAGCGACTCAGGAACACTCTCACCTATTTGTCTTTCATCTGCAGTTTTTGGAGAACAGTGCTCTCAGAACCCTTCAATGATTTGATAGATGAATACGACTTGGATCCAGATCTTCGGGTTACAATGAGCAATCATGTCGATCTGTATCTGATCAACACTGATTTCTCTATTGACTTCCCCTTTGCAATAATGCCTAGTGTCATCCCTGTTGGTGGACTCACAGCCAGACCCGCCAAAGCTCTGGACAATGATCTGGAGGAATTTATGGAAAGTTCAGGCGATTATGGCGTTGTTGTATTCTCACTAGGATCCTATTTATCGACTGTAACAACAACCCGACCTGAAATGATGAAGATGTTTCTGAATGCCTTCGAGAGAATCCCACAAAAGGTCATCATCCAATCGAAGAAAGGCCTTTCTCATGACCTACCCCAAAATGTCAAGCTATTAAAATGGTTGCCACTCAACGACCTACTCGGGCACCCTAAAACACGCCTTCTCGTCTACCACGGCGGTGCCAGTGGGCTCTTCGAAGCAGTGTACCATGGCGTACCTCTCGTTGTAATGCCTGTAGGTGGAGACCAGTGCGACTTTTCCGTCAAAGTCGTATCCAAGGGAATCGGTGTCCAACTGGACAAGGACAACCTCACAGCCGAGATCATCTACGAGCGGGTGACAGAAGTCCTAGGGCAACCTGCGTATTCTGCATCCAGCATACGCATTTCCGCCATCTTGAAAAATCGACCAATGACAGCAGGCGACACGAGCGCATTTTGGATTGAACACGTGATTAAACATGGCGGCGAATACCTAAGACCATCTTCGTATGATATGCCATTCTACCAGCTATACCTGATCGATGTGTTCTTGTTTCTGTTTGCATTTATATTCATTGTTAGTTGGCTTTCTTTCAGATGCTTGAAGAAATGCTTCCGAAAGAAATCATCAGTGAAACCTAAAAAGGAATGAGCACTGCGTTATCCACAGTTTGTAGATGGAGGATGAGGAGGGGGAGGGGGGGGGGGGGGTATATAGACATATGTACACTATTGCTTGTCTTGATCGCTACGGAAGAACGTTTACCAAGAACAATTAATGAAATATTTAGGCCACTTCATCATTTTCTAGTATCTTATATGCTCCCATTGCTTCACAACATGATCAAGTTTCCTGGACTCTTCTTGGTCTGCAATTGAGAAAATTGGTTTATGTTGCTAAATGGATACGACATTTGATGAGAAGCGACATAGAAAAATAGACCTCTTGAAAATGAAGACAGATTGACTTGACAAATTGTATAATCCTTGTTTGTGAATCTCTACCGTGTATTATTGAGCAGATGAATTTAAAGTAATCTGTTTTAAGATATGTAAAAGTAATATGACAACATAACAGTTTTTTCTGAAAATATTAATTCAATGGCTTACATATAACAAAGTATTACCGCGCTATCTCATGTACCCAAGACATTTATTCATCCATTGTCAATGTTTAAAGAAGTGTATGGTGGCTTTTATAAATGTAGTCAAAGCAGATTTTGTTGAACAATATCAAACATGTAGCAATACATTTTAAACAAACACTTGGCTTCTCGTGCAACCAATTAATGATTTTTTTTAAAAACGATTAACGAGCGGAAATCGCACAGCAGGAGCTACCAAAACATTTTCTTCCCCTACACATCTTTATTAGATGTGAAAGTGCTGAGCTCACGTCTAAAATACGTCACAATCAGTAAAGAGGACACAAATTTGGCACGATGCCAAGTGACAATTTTTTATTAAAGCGATTTCCCGCGTCACTTACCCCTATCGCTCAGCAGTATCACTGTTTGCAGACGACCCAGCGATTGCTAAGTGTGGATGTGTATTTTGATGACAATATCGTAACACTATCACTTTCTGAGTGGTAGATTTGTTTTCCTTTACCCATGCGCTGTTTTTGCAATTCCATGCGACCCTAACAATGTTGTGTTTCACCGTGAGTGCTGTTAATGAATTTTTGATCGACTTCTAATGTAATATTTAACAATAAAAAGGAAAATTGTTGGCACCTATACGTTAAAATTCTACTTCCTAATTCAATTTGTTTTTAATCTGTGAAAGGATGACAAAACCTATATCTCCGTGTATTTAATTGCCCCCCCCTGATTATGTAACGTATGCTAGTATTTCCTTCAATTTCGGTGTTATCAACTACCATAAAATTATAGGTGTTCCGGTAAACACCTTTTGATGAGATGCCATTGCCGTTTATTCCCAAACTCTACAACCCCACACGCTTGCACTGTCTTGTACCCACATTGTTGCTTCTAGAAATCTCTGGCGTGTGACGAGGGAGCGGGGGGGGGGGGGGGCAAAGGGATGTTTTGTTGTTTTATATTCGATGTGTACTTTACTTAAGTATCGAAGGTGTACCCAAGTATCATAGACCGATACCCCCTGGTGTCAAACGGGTCATAATAAACGAAAAATTTACAAACTGGTCAACTAAAGCTGATTTCTTCTTGTAAGAGAATGATTCTTTTTTCTTGGAATAAACAATTGTGTCGAGTTAAGAATTCGATCATTATATATTTACAACGTGTGCGTCAGCTATGGAAATAGACTTTTGTCATTTGGTTTATTTGCCGTCTTCAGTGCCCCGATGGAATTTGCAGGAGGTATAATATAGGTACTAAATCCTCTATTTTGTTACAGGGTGCCAACGAGAATTTTGTTCTTGCTCCATGCTGCAGATCATTGACGTCACAATGGGGAAATGGACTTAACAGAGAGCAAGAGAGGGAGAGAGAAGAGAGAGAAATGAGGTGGGGGAGGCTTATAGTGCGAGAGGAAGGTGAAGGAAGATAACAGAATGTATATTGAAAGAAGAAGGAGAAAGGGATGATAGATAGCTATATAGATTTTTTTTCAAAAAGAGAGAATTTGTATTCTAAGGGAGAGAGGAAAACATTCACAGCAACACACACACGCACACGCCCACGCCCACATTCACCCATACATGACCGCGTAAAAAACAATACGCAATATCCTAACAAGAATTTAACCATTCAAGACACATTTTTAAAAGACGGATTGAGTTAAATGACTTTAATCTAGGAATCATATTCAGGTTACACAATTGGTAAAGAACGTTAAAACAAAACAAAAAAAGAATGAGAGGGTTTTTAAGCAAGAACGATAGAGGAAGAATTTTTTTTCATTATTATTTTTCTCAAATAGATAACTGATATCAGAGATGCAAAGACTAGCACTTGAGACTGATATAAGAGTATAGTAAGGAACAGTACAGTGGAAAAGTTAGAAAGGGAGCAAATCTCTTCGTGCTAAGATGCAATAAACAACAGCTCTTACGTTTAGAAATGGCAAGTACTTTCGTACAGTTATCGGCCTGGATTAATTGTAAACACTCTCGCAAACTTTGATGACGCCTCAAGAACTTTGATATCGTCATCGAAGATTACAAAGACAGCCTAAAGGGTCAGTGTCATACCATCAATAATGATAACCTATAATTATGAAGTAAGTCTCCTGATTTATCTGGAAAAGTTATCAGATACCGGCTTACCGATTTATGCTAATAAGCCATCAGTATAGATTTTCTAGGTTTTGTAGCATATCCACTACCTTTCAAACAAAAACTTCGAAGACCGATTTTCTATTTAGCTTTATGGTTATCAGTGATAAGAGACAGGTTCTTTCCATGGTTGTGGAATAATTGAGGGTGTGGGAGAGATAGGGAGAGTGTGTGTGGGAAATGGGGAGGTTGGAGTAGGAGGCAACAACTCAAGCAAGTTTTCAACAGAAAATTGTTTTATAAAATGAAATAATATGAGGAAGAAGAATAATAGAAATTAGAAAAAAAAGAGAGAGGGTAGAGAGAAAGATAGAGAGATAGATAGTGTATGTGTGTGTGTGTGTATGTGAGAGAGAGAGAGAGAGAGAGAGAGAAAGAGAGAGAGAGAGAGAGAGTGGGTGTATATGTGTGTGTGTGTGGGTATCTAGTACAGAGACGAGTAAGAGGGTAAAGGGAGGGATGGAGAAGACACGTAAGGGGGGAGATGGAATGGAAATGGAGAAAAAGAGAGAAAGGGAGAGAGAGAAATGAGTGCTAAGAGAGAGAGAGAGAGAGAGAGAGAGAAAGAGAGAGAGAGAGAGAGGGGGAGAGAGAGAAGGAGGGGTAAGGTAAAGAGAATGTATAGGCAATAACTCAATTAAGGGTATCCAATTTAAAAGGAATGAAAGAAGATGAAGCAGAAGAAGAAAAAGAAGCCGAAGAAGAAGAAGAAGAAGAAGAAGAAGAAGAAGAAGAAGAAGAAGAAGAAGAAGAAGAAGAGGAAGAAGAAGATGAAGAAGAAATCAGGAGGAGGAGGGGGGGGGGGTAAATAAGAAGAAGAAAAAAGAGAGAGAATGTAGGAAATGCAAAATAATTAAAAACATGAGATTGACAAAATCACGTCTTCTTCATCAATTAATCTACATCACATTTTAAGTCATCTATTCATCCTTGCCTATGGATTCATATCGAAACTGCCTTTCCCGTGCATTTATCATTCTTTGGGGTCCATTTTTACCGACCACTCTGCCTTAATTCGCGACAGGGAACAATATACGTAAGAAGGAGAGACGGGACGATTACACGCAAATTTCTTCACATTTTTCTGTTATTCATTTATGCGTCCTTGAGGGAATGGAAGAATTTGCGGAACGCCAAATAGCTTCTAGGGGTCCTTACGACACATCTCTTTAAAATATGCTATGAATGATACAATACATGAAAGACCTCAGTCCCACACCCAAACCGATTCCAAACCGACTCTCAATCGACCACCTCTTGGTAATTCAGGGTAATGCAATTTTTTCTTATAGTTTGGTTTGTTGTCGCCGGTATGATATCGGTTTCGTTGATGTGACTTGGGTATCAATCCAGACAGCGTACTATAATAGGCAACGTGAAGGGCAAACGGGAACGCCTCGCTTTCTTTCCAACATATGAGAATTCCCCATCTCTTATTTATGAAAACGGTGCACTTGATAAAAATAGTACCATAAACAGAATAGGTAACATGAAGGGAGAAGAAGGGTTGATCGCTTTCCTTCTAGCAGAAAGACCGTTGAAAATTCATCACCTGATATCTATGAAAATATACAGATGATGAAAATAGTACTATGAAAATTAGGTAATGTGAACGTGCTCAAGGGTGAGTCAATATCAATGATGTACATAGTTACTTCATTTGTACAAAGGAACAATAAAGGGGAAGTAAACCCTCATATTAAAGTTGTGTTTTGAATTTAATGTAGACAACTGAGAGAAACGAATTAGCGCAATTTTGAGCAATATCCGATTAAAAATAGGAAAGTTATTTATTTTTTGAAATTGTCATCAGTGAAACATAAATTGGCAACACTATGACAAACCTTGCGAGATTCTTTCCAATTAGCTCTGTACAGAAAATGTCTTGCTTATTAATAACGGAATAGGTTATATTTAGGGTGAATGCATGATTTAAAAAAAAGCTACGTCACAGAGTTGAAACTTTGTGTTTGTATTGGTCGAACCTTCAACAAATTAATAACTTTCTTATTTTCAATCGGTTTTTGCTCAAACTTTCACTGACCCGTTTTTCTCATTTTCTGCTTCTATCAAAACCAACTTAATACCAAGGTGGAGTTCCCTCTATAAGAGCTCAAAGTAAAGTACGGATACATTAGGCTTTTCATTGTATATCTCCTCGCTCAAAACAATAACTTGTTTTTAGGGTACAACGTCTTATTAGTAGATACATTGCATGCAAATGAGACTGGACAGCGCCATTGTGACGAGACATTATGTAATGTATTCCCCTTTAGGCATCAATGAGTAAACCTACTTCGTTTGAGGATCCATAAGCAGACAAGGTTACTTGACCATTCATAATGTCCGTTTTAAAACGATATGTTGTTTGTTTCAGTTCTAAAATAAAATCAAAGTCTTGAATATCAAAGCAAATTTGCCTACCAAAATCTTTCCAA